ACCGAGGTAGTCACCTCCTTTCCCTTCCCTGATTACCCTACCATTAGAAGAGCGTAGTCGCCTGAGTCTGTGTGGCTTATGTCGCCGTATGCCCTCCTAGCACACTATAGCCAGCCGTTTTTGGCCCGGATGCAGGGGGGTTAGATCGCGTTCCACCTCCGAAACTTGAGTGATCCAGTCCCACAGCTGCGTCTATGCGCTCCATCAGTAATCTTTGGACCGTTGCAGGATTTAAACTAAGTTTTTCTTGAATTTATTTGGATTCGCAGTTGCAACATTCCAGTGGTTAGCGAAGGCCGCCATAGTCTCGCAATTGACAAATCGCGCGACTAAAATGCTGGGCCACGAAGTGTGAACGAAGTCGTAAGGACCTTCTGCCCATCGACGAAATTACAGCCTCTGAACTGTGATTTAATAAGAATCAGTTATGATGGATTAATCCATTCAGGTCTCGGAGAAAGCAAAGTCGATGGGATTCCCGCGTCCATTCCCGCACAAATTAGCCACACTTCGTCAGGAGATTGTTGAAATTTTCCATGAGTGAGTTTTAATTTTTAATCTCTTTTTATGTCGTTGTGTGCTCTTTCATACATACCCCAGTTACTCGGAAGATTAAGTCTCATCATTTTAGTGATTTTTATTCTTTCACAATCTCTACGCACCTCTTTCAGAGCCCGTTGTATGCAGTTCATCAAAACGGCGGCCAATCACGTTAGACAACATATTGCTGCAAACAAGGAGAATCAGGAAGCACGTGAGTCTGTCACCCGTCTGTTTACTTTTGATCGCTCTCATGTTGATTGCACTGTGATCGTAGCGTATTTGCTAATTTGCAGTCGACGTTGAAAATGAGGTGACAAAAGCACTGGTGGAAGTGAGCGAAGGTCGGGAACCTCTCACAAATTGCAGTGTGACGAAGGAAGCCCTAGCTAAGGTGAGGAACCAGAAGAACTTAAGAAAGTGTTCTGGATTTTCTGACGAGCACCCTGATTTAGGCTGCCGAAGCTGTGCATTCATTGCGACCGGACACGTTTGATATTCGCTTCAATCCGGGACGTTTCTCACAACCACAGTAAAGCGCATTGCTGCTGGATAAGATCTTCCACAAGCAAAGACGACTCGTTGTGTGAGGTGAGAAACTGGCTTATCTTATCCGCCGGCGCTAGTTAACATGTGTAGCGTCGTGAGAACGAGCAGCAGACCTAAATTGGACCAGCACTCATTCAGGGTTACAAAGATTGAACTATTTCCTTTTAGGCCGCAGAATTCTTACTTGACTACGCAATTACCGGAATTTGTGGCTAGTTGTGTAGATGCCACTGTTACTCCCATTGATGGTGAAAGTCTGTGTGTGACTTGATGCATACGCGTGGAATCAAGTGGCTGCTACTTAGGAGATGTGTGTGGGCGAAGTAGGAAGTGAAAAGTAATATAAATGTTTTTATAATTTATGACTACGCAGTACGCGATTTTCTTATTTGTGTATGAGCCCGAAAGTGCAAGTGCTTACGAGGGTCGGTTGGAGGTTCTCTGCGTAGATACTATTTGAAGCGGCGTCAAGTCTCCATTAGTGACCGCCTAACCATGGTGGCAACGACTGATGGAAACGGGCTGACCTCGCTCCAAAACATACCTACGCAGGAAAGCTGCATCCTCAGGTTTCGCCCTGCACTATACGGTATGCCAAAATACCTTGCATATGTTCGCAAGAAATTTATTGGTGCTAGAAATGACTGGTCCGACTCCTACATGGTCCCGTTAGCCGTAACTGAGCTTGTGTCGCGCTGCGCAAAGCACGTACTAAGACAGTACATGAATACATTGCCGCAGGTAAGATTCCAATCTTCTACAGTACATGAATACATTGCCGCAGGTAAGATTCCAATCTTCTATCTTATTCTGGTCCAAAAAAGCTTTGCAGAATGCAACCTCCGCTCAAAGTTTCCTACTCCGGCACGACCCCTTTCCTCTTCCCATCATATCTTGCTGAATTTCCCAACTACCACATTTACGAACTTTTTTCGAATTTCTCCAGCCCTCCGATTTCTCTCAAAAAGTGTCGAATACGGGGCGAGGTATGCAGCGCAATGAAACATAGATAAATCGAGGTAACCTGCGACAACAGGAACTATTTTTCCTCGCGAGTTTTTCTTGAAAGCAGCCAACTTCCCCTCCCCTATGAGTCTTCCAGTCTGTGCCGTTGGAGCGGGTGTCAGCAAGGTTGGCGGACCTACTAACTGTATCCGGGAGTTCCTAAATTTTGCTGGGCCATGTGACTGCCAGTGTTGGCGCCACTGGCCCTTGCTGCGGCTGTTTCCCTCTCAACTTGCGCAGGACTTCAGTTATGACCTCTGCTGGTTTGTACTCATGCGGAGTTGTGGTTTGTGGTTGTTCTGCTAAGTCTGAGCGTTTCTTCAAATCATCTGCCATAATGAACCTAAATCGTAAATCCTCCCTGCGCAACCGCCAGCTCCACCCCTCCACCTCCACCCCTCCCCACCCTCTCTGGAAATACCCAGCGTGTGCCCATGACTCACCCTACGCTGCCGTCTATTTGATTCTTTTTTATACGGGAATTTGATGCGCCACTATGGTAGTGTTGACCCCTTGCGCTGGAATCTTTATCCAGAAGCCCTGACGTCGCGAAGTACAGCTACAGCTACAATACAGCTAACTCAGTGCCCTTTATAGGAGCAGTTAGGATGCGCAATCGCTCATCTTCTCAATGCAGTGTTTGGAAATTTGTCGTCTGACCATGCATCTGGTGGAAATGCTGAGAGGAATACGAAACGGGTGAGTAATTATTCTACAACTGCATAGACGTCAAGTTTGTACAGAGTTTAGCGTTCCGCTTATTCAGAACAGCAAGAAGACCAAGAAAGCGTCTGCAAGCGGAGAATGGGCGTCTGTTAATACGAAAGAGTTCTGGAATGCTCTTTGTCAAGAAGCCAAAAACTATTATGCATTTGATCTCAAGGTATCTATTTTTACTTTAGCCAACTTGCTTTTATTCCCTGGAAGAGCTTTTTTGCTTGAAGGTTGATTGTGTCGACTCGGTCGCGGAGCAATATGGTGTGCAGAAGATTTCATTGTTACGTCGTTTGTGTAGCACGCTGGGAATCCAGTTAGTGAATAGGGTAAGAATAAGTTCATTTCATGCTTTCTCCAGTGGTAAATCGGGAAATAGGAAATGCAACTTGTTAACGAGTAGTTGATGATCACTGCTACGGTCTGTTTTTGATTTTAGGCTGAAATTGCGAAAGTTGTAGCATATTATGTAGATATTCACCATATTTAGGACTATCAGCTTGACACTTTGCCTACACGTGCCCGTCAGCCGTTCTCTGAAGATGATATCCAGAACTTGATTCCTGTGACTAAGCATAGACAGGTAAAGGTTTAGCAATTCTGGAAGTTTGTCAGTTTGGAAGTGAACTGGACGTACAAGGATGGGACTTAAAGACACATTCTACGATTATCTGGTAGATAGTAGAATGGCGGCAGGTCCGCAGTGGCTGTATATACCGAGACACCGATAATGTATTGATCCAAGAGCTCTGGTGCTAAACTCTGAACACACACTATTTCGATCCTGGTTGAACGGTGATCATAGCTCGCGCTGGCTCTTTGCTTTTTCAAGGTGTTCTGGTCCCGATCGCCTAAACACTAAACGTCTTGTCTGTTCACCACTTCTCGTCCAGCGCTGGGAAACCTAGTCTGGGGATTTCTAGAAGGGTTCTTTTTGCGTTCTCCTCTAGTGGGTAGTCAGTCAGCGCCAGCAAATATTTGAGCTTTATCAAAAAAAATTTGTAGTCACGGAGGTGTCCTTTACATCTAGCTTATAAATGGTGAATGTGGTTAATGCCCTGACGTTCAATTAACCTAAAATTTGGCGGCACTCCAACAGGTTCTTTTATTTTTTTCCTTATTAGTAAGTAAGTGATCGCCTACAAATTCATATTTAAACCACTCTCTCCACCGGTTCTTAATCGCGGAATGTGTCTTTAAGTCTAGCCACAATGACAAGTGATTAATCTCCAGCATGTGATGTAATAAAGAGAGGTCAACATGAAAGGACATACATGAGAACGTCCCCCATTTTCAGCCATGCGCAAGCGATGCTAAGAAGCTGTTCACTCGTGGTCAACAAGCAATGCAAGTTGGACACCTGCGCGAGGCTTATGAATGCATCGCAGATATCGGTGTTGTTCACTCTACTGTTTATATGTTCATCGTGTAACATAGTATTTCTGAGTAAAACAGATTATTTTTTGGGTATCCCAGGCCTAGGATCAGTCTTTCTTATGTATTTATTTATTTATTTGGATATCGCAGCCCTAGGAACAGTCTCCGTTTTCTTTCTGAAAGTAAAAACAAGTGAACTCACTTTTCAGGTGAATCTGATGACATCCGTTTACGGTGCTCTACATAGCGAACTGGCCCAAGCTCTTCGTCTTTTGGCCCGTCTTTCCTACATTCTTGGTGATCCGACCGAAGCTGTTGCTCAGCAACATCGAGCCGCCTTGATGAGTGAGCGCTGTAATGGAATCGATCATGCGTATACGATTATCGAATACGTGGGTGTTGTTATTATTTGTTTTTTTTGCGCAGTTCGGCCTGGGAGGGGCATTTTGCAGTTCTTCTATAGTTCTTGTTAACTAACAGGTTTCACTTTGATGAGAGCTGTAAACTCTTGTGAAGCTGCAGAATGATGCAAGTAAGCCGCTCTAGTTGCAGGAGTTCACAGGTATCACAGATTAGTCTGTACCGGTGTCACTGAGTGCCATTTACTGCCCCCACCAGGCCGAACTTCACCGTTTTTCGGCACCTTCAACACTTGGGATTCCGAGTTCGATGAGTGTTATGTTCAGATCAATCTCGCTCACTTTGCGTTCTCAAATCTTTACATACCAGCAGCTCTAAGACTGCTATACCGTGCTCGATACCTGTTGCTCATTAATAACTTCGTAGTTTTGACATGACATAAAACGCTTTTGAACGTCTAGTTCATCAATTACGTCATGACAGACCACGTCCTGCCGTCTATTTCGTGGTCCTATCTCAAAAACTCGACAATCTATTATTACATTTTTCTATTACAAGTTAACAAGGAGAAGAAAATGACTGAAGAAGCTATTGAGGCGCGGTTCGGCTTGATGGTGGCATCCTGCTGGACCTATCGATTACTGCCGATGTCGCCTGTGCAGAGCTGTAAGCTGCCAACGCTATGCCATAGTGTCCTTTACTTTTGACACGAAACTACAGGTCTCAACAAGATGAAACGTGCAAGATGGCTAGGATTAGCTAAGAAACTGGCGAAAGACCTGAATGTCTAAGCCCCCCCCCCCTCGAGGCCGTAATTAAAACTATTGAGTAAAGAGCTGTCTACCTGTGGTTTCAAAAAAATGAAACGGAAAAGCACCTCAACGGCAATGTCGACTGTTCAAGGTGAGATAGTGAAATAACTTAAGCTAAAGGACGTAAGCTGCCGAAACTAGAAGCTAAGGCAGCGTTCAGACTTCGCGACGACAACGCCTCGGTCGCGCGTTCGGCGCGATCGATGCGCATGCTTTCAACTGCATCGATCGCGTCGAACGAGCGACTGAAGCGCTGCCGTCACGAAGTCTGAACGATGCCTAAGTGCATGACGCCAAAGAGCTATGTTCAACGGATTAGGGCTAGTGGTCAGAATGCAATGCTGCACA